ATTAATTTTTAATTATCACATATATTTCAGGGCAGGCAGCTAATGTGCTTTAGAAAGTTCAAAAATACATTTTCCCTGTGCTTTCATATTTCTTGTTCTCCAACACTTTTCATTTTATAGAACACTTGTTCCCCTTCTCTCCTGGTTCTCAGCTGCTGATATTTCATTTTAGTGACCACAGAATAAGGAGTAATATATCACTAGTTACCTATAAACCAGAATTTAAAAATCCATGCTTTTCCAGTATGTTCATAGTCACTATTGATGAGACTTCTACAGGCTTGTAGTGATGTTTTAAATAAATGTAGCTTTTCTTTGTTAATTTAGTTTCAATTACTTACAAGATTTACAAGCAACTGAAATGGTGAAAAATACTTCAGCTCCCTAGTGAGCTTTGTGATTTCCAGTCCTGTATCTTTTTTATATCAGTATATCAGTATATTTTTATATCAGTAATGAGTGAATTGCTTACAACTATACCACCCTCTTCTGGTTGTTGAGTTTAAGGATGACATCTACCCCAGGATATGCAGTGTGAGCCCTGAAGCCAAGTGATTGTGGAGCACTAAGCAACTCTGTGCCCAAACCTGGAAACATGTCACATCTGAGACCCTCTTCGCCATTATTCACTGAAGCATCTCCCATTGCTTGTTGTGTGGCTGTTGATTAAAAGAAGTCAATGTGTTATTTTGTCCCTTTGGAAAAGCTGAGTCCATATATACTCACACATAGGCTCTATTTCTTATTCCAGTGTGCCTTAGTACAGTCAGTCTTTAACTATGGCTGTATGGCATCTATTACTTCTGTTCAAATCCACTTAAAGGCTATTTTTTGCATATGCAATGGAATTGATATAGCACAGTTCTCAGGAGGAAACTTCACTGAATAGCATATACTTCTTACTTGGAGATAGCTGCTCAGCTGTCTTCAGAGCAACATATTCATTTACCTGAACTAATGAACTGATCTCCCTGAGAACAGCAAAAAAAGTAACTGACTTAGAATATATTTTTGAAACAGTTTGATCTCTGTACTACATCCCCACTCCTGTATACTAATGTTAATTTTGTGTTTTCAAACTCAAAAGAAGACCAGAAAATCTCAGTATCAAACCAATGGAGAACTGTCATTATCATAGACCATGAGAAGCAGGAGGGATGTTTATGAGTACTGAAAAAGAAGGATGAAGATTAAGTAGTCTTAGGCCTTATCCTATTAATGAGTTATCGTTGTGTTTCATACATTACATTCATAGGAGATGGTCTGAGTAGTGGGATATCTTCTCTTCATAAATGAGAGGCCTTGCATAAACCACTTGGTTCCTCATATTCCCCTGCACAGTGGAAAGGACCAAATCAGCGGACAGACCCTTCCTGAACAAACCAGTGCAGGCTATATAGTCCATTCAATGAGCAGTTTAGTTGTCCCACACAGGAGCTGTTGAGGGAGTCCGTAGACATAGTGCATGTTGTTTTGCTGTCACAGCTTGGGCCTACCTGCTAGAGAACAGGGAAGGAGGCAATAGATAAACACTGTTCTTGTAGCAGTTGGCAGTCTATGTACCAAAACACTAAAATGCAGGGAATGCTTGTGAGTAATTGAATAAATGGAGGGAACACTTGTGTCAGATGGGAGCATCTCAAAGACTGGTGGATCTAGAGAGGGGTGTTACAGAGGGACTGCATCTGATTGAGGGAAGAGTTTGTCTGAGCTGACTGCAGCCTGCCCAGCTTCAGGAAACAAAACAGTCTGTCACCAGGAGATGAAGCCTATGTGGAACAAAGACTGGAGTTCTGAGACCACTCTTATCTCTTAATAGCAAATTAAAGCAATTGATGAGCCAGGTGCAGAATGACAGCAATCTCCAGATAGACAAGCTAACAGATATTTGTACTACCGAGTGATCATGGCCACTCAGAAGCTGGACACTACACAACTTGACCACATGATGTCACCCTTGGTCCAGACTTATGTTGAGCCCAGGCCACCTCCTTCCTGCACGGAGATCCAAAAGAGCCCATAGCAGGGCAGCATGGCTTGAAGAGAGGCCTCCAGCTGTGGGCAGTAGCAAATATTGGCATAAGCTGTGAAATAATTCAAAGGATTTCCCATCGAGGTACAGCTAAGCCTTTACACAAGAAAGTTCCACCATCACTGTTCTCATGGTACCATGTACAAAGACCAGAGACCGAATGGATGTGAGTGTTGACTGCCTTCTCCAGACCTGGCTATTGCCCTTTGATATCAGTGCAAAGGCCCTTTGGCAGTGCAGCACAAGGTGAGAGCAGGTTGGGCTCTTTAGGCTGTGCTTACTCTGTAGAGAACAACAGAAGTCCACTCTTCTTTTTTTCCCTCTCATCACTTTTATATATTCAAACACATGAGAGGAAACTCCTGAATAAACAATAGACCCCATCTCTCTTCTGGGTTTCCAAAGAACAAAGATGGAAAACTTATTTCACAACTGCAGGTGACCAAATGGAAATTTGTAGTCATTATATAAGAGTATTGTAGAGTACCCTACCTTTCTAGTGAAGAAATAAATTCCTGAGCTTCAATCTCCTGAAGAAAAAAACTTTTACCTAATGCCTTACCTGACAATAAAAGAATCTGCTGACCAGATTGCCTCTAATTCGAAACTGAAGTGCAGCGCTTATCTGCTTTTTTTTTTTTTTTTTTTTTCTTGTTTAGAAGTTTTGGAAGCATTTTCATGAAAAATTTCCAGAGACAGTCCCAGCCAACATGGAAAATTTTATCCCAATCTTTATGTGTTGGCTTTGACATCAAAAATAGTAGATGTGGGGAATGTCAGAAACCGTAATTAACATAAGCTATTTTACTGTCTCTACTGGGGATAACTATACACATGGTATCACAAAAACATCTGTAGAGCTAGTGCTATAGCAAAATAGGAGAGTAATGTTGAATACTTAATTTCACTTCTTTGAAGACTGCTGATGGGCCCTGATCCACATCATCATGCTTTAATGAATGCCCCAGCCTAATTAGGACCACCATCAAATCTCTTCTGAGCCATGTCCCTCAATTTTTTTCTAGTATTTGTAAAAATTTTTCACTTCAGGTACAAAGCTGTACAGAAGTCTTGTTCTTAATTATTTTCTGGAAAATCTTTAAAATGAGTGGAAGATGGTCATGAACTACTTTTTAAAAGCTTTTGGAACACATAGAGGCATCTCCTGATTAACTTAAGATACAGACAGCCCTCCAGAAGTGCCTGTCACTCTGCTGATTATAGAAAGAGTATACGAAGAATGCCCTCATCACCAATAAGTTTCAATTAACTCCCTAAGGTTCATGAAATGAAACAAGGCTTGTAATGCATAGGGATAAATCATACAGAAAGGACTGTGTGAAATATCTGAACTTGTGCATTTTAATGTTTGTATGTACCATCAATACACACCATCCAACGAGTGTGGAAGGACCCTACCAAGCTCACTACTTGGGATATAATATGATGTTTGGTTTCAGGTTATTTCTCTCAATTGCTCTGCTAACTAAAGCTTCCCAAGCTGATGGCAGTTATAGCACAGCTGACTTCTATAGACTATCTCCTTTCAGGCATGCCTTTAATATGTTAGATTCGGGCAGATTGAAAACACAGGCAAATTACTCACCCTTCCTACGCTAAAAAATGGAGGCGGTGTGTTGAATATTCATTGCTAACAGTCACAGACTTTTGCACAAAGCATTAGCAATGTAATGAGCTTATACATGCTAGAATACTTAAAATTACAATCAGACCGTTTTTAAAATGTAACCCATTAAAATTATACTATGTACTTGGCAAAGATTAAATGCACACAGTGTACATCTCTGAGTCACTGAAGTTCTGCTTCTTCATTATTAATGCCTCCAGTGGTTTGTTTTTTTTTCTTGAATACAGTAGAAAGTATGTTCTGTATTGTTACGTTTGGGCTGCACTTCTCTGCTTGCATATCTACATGCAGCACCTTGCTAGTGAGAGGGAAACGGAAGGCAAAGATAGAACATATCACATAATTTCATGGCTTAGTAAGTCCAGTTTCATTTTCTCTAGGACTCTTAAGAGGCCTAGGAGTCATCAACACAAAAGATGTCTCAGGCACTTTATAGCTGTGGAAACTTTGCAAGGCCTATCAGTACACTATTCAAAGAACTACTGATGCTGTGAATTCAAGGGTTGTTGAATTTAAGGGGGAGGTGGCTCCATCTCTTTTTCTATCTTAACATGCTCTGAAAGGAGAGGGGTTTCTTGGCTGCTATAAATTAGCATTTTCAACTATGAGTGCGGTCTCCCAAACATACAGTTCATAGCTGAAACAACATACTGCTTTCACTCCTATATCTAATAGATAATGAAAGATGGAAAGTTACCACATGCTTGTATCTCAGGAACATAGCAAACAGAAATACCACCCCTGTGAATGTTTATTGCAACGGCCTGAGCTACAGCAGACTCTATCCAGGTTTTTCCAAGCAACTGCTCATTTTGATTATCCAAATTGCAAAGAACACCAACTGCAGTAACCAGAGGAAATAGAAGCTGTAAACAAGGTGCAAGCACTCAATCCATCCAGAAAAAAGAAATTGAATAGGATCACTCCAAAAATCTATCTTAATTCTTAGCTGAAAATTGATAGCAGGTCCCTCTTGCAAGCCACCCAGCAGTAGTCAGTAATAAAGTTTGTATTTGACAGCTGTTTTAAATTCAGCTATACCCCATTCAAGTAAGCATATAGTCAGGTGGTGAAATCTACCCTCATGATAGCTTTTGTCACCACTGACAAGCTCAAGGCACCCTGCACCCTACCACACTCTGCAGCACTGTTTGATGCCCAGATAGGGAATTTCCACTGGCCTAAGTAAAATCTGCTTTAGCATACGACTGCAGCACACTGGTAAAATAAGTCTAGTCTTTGCTATACAATTGGTTTAGTGACTTACTTCTTGAAGTGTAGTTATGCTTTGTCTACATCAAAGACCAGCTGAGGGATGTATTTTTTCAAGATTTTACTGCAAACCAATGGGTTTGGTCACAAAAAATATGATACATATAACCATGTTAATTATATTACATTACAATGATGGTATACATTACAAGTTAAGTCTTTAAGTTTAAATATACATCTAGAGTTACAACTGAATGTACAGATATTTTTTACAATACATACAACCAGGAATGAAAAACCCCCAAAACCCAAAACCATAAATAATGCCCATTTTACAGATGACATCTTTTAAACAAAGAAGAAAAAAAAAAAAGAAAGAAAGAAACCAACAGCTTCGACTGACTGCAGCTGGGGCATTTTGGTCCATAAAAACCCTTTCTAAAAATAGAAATCTGTTCATAGCAGCAATGCTTTCTTCAAGCATTTGGATACAAGTAATTGAGAGCCCATTTCAATAATTTCAGTTGACTGTATAGATTTACAAAAAAAAATTTCAAAATTACACTTAATTTATCTTCCAAATATGGAAGAAACAAACAATGCCCCACATTGTGGTATCCTGCAAGTGTCACATTGATGCATTACACTAAGTCCATCTGTAATACGCAGACCACACGCATACCATTTGTTCACATAGTAAACCCACATAAATGAACTGAGAAACACACTCTGCAACAGGGAAAGCTTTGGAGCTAACGAGATCTCATCAGAAAAAGGCACATTTCATAAAATCCTTATCACGTTCAGAAAGATCTTCAGGCAAGGCTTTTCAGAGCTCGATTTCAAAACTGCTCATTCTTACTCTACAATCTGCCATAGCAGTCTATCGCAGCAGTCACTTTTGTTTTTCTTTCCCAAGGAGACAGCACCACTTTGGGGGAAGAAAAAAAAATGGAAACGAAAAGCCTGCAAAGCTCATTCAGAGAGTGATGTGCTCTTCAAAAAAGCTTCCAGCAAACAGTGTAGTTGAAATTAAGGCTGCAAAGCTGCCATGGTGGAAATGTGCAAATTCTGTTTCAAGGTGACCGGTCAACTGGCAATTCCACCAGAAGGCCAAACAAAAATAAAAATAATAGTTATTATTATTTTAAAAAAAAAAAGTAAGAAAGAAATAAAAATGTTCACAAGAAAGAGTCCACAGGTGGGGCATATGAGAAGCCCAAAAAAGCCTCAGCAGCTTCTTTGACGCTGGCGGTGATGAGGATGCTGTCTGGAGACTGGCCAATAGAGTTGGGGACTGGCTCATCTGTAAATTCAGGATCAAAGTGCCGCAGGTCATTGGGGCCACTCTGGTGAAGGAGAGAAAAGGAAAAACACACTATTTAGACAAGACCTTCCTATTTTCTGGGGAAAGAGAAGAGTTCAAACAGTAAAACAGAATCACCTCCACAACCAGATACCTGCACTTAGTTACTATCTGACAAGCCAAATTTAGCAAATTATGCATGGGAATCTACCAACTTTCTGCACCTTACCTTCCCTTTTGGTAACATGGGGATTATTTTAAAATAGCCATGTGAATGAAGTATTTATTTGTCAGAGGGCCGCCCCCCCAAAAAAAAGAAAAGCATCTAAATTTAGAAAATCCATCAGCAAAAAGTCAGCTACTGCTTATTTCTACTCTTGTCTGGATGGCCATGAGGAAAGCTGTACTGCCCAACCACATCTCCATGTGGCCAGTTTCCTCTAGCTTCTGGGCACCCCATGAAGATATGGAAGACACTTCCTTACGCGTTCTATAATTAGAAGTGATACGTACCACATTTGGGTTAAAAGGGGGGGTAATCTTCTTATTAATGAGATCATCCCAGTTAATTGGGGAGAAGAAGATGTGATTCTTAATCTCCGTCTGTTAGGGAGAGAAAAAAATAGATTAATTCAGACCCCAGCTAATGTAAGTAATACGACTTAGTCATCTTCCTGTACTGCACACAGGAAGAGCTGCTCGTTTGGCACTTACAAAGTCCTCCTTGGCACCAAGCCTCTTTGTCCTGTCTTTCTGCAGAAGGCCTTCCAGGAGATGTCTAGCAGAGTTGGTAATATTTGGCTTCAGTTGCAAAGGTTTGTTCAAGATGTTATCATACATTTCTGCCGTGTTCCTGCTGTAAAAAGGCGGCTGTGGAAACAGCAATGGAGAGATCAAGGTTACGGGGCTGACTCGTGAGTATGTGCCTTCTGAGAGCACAACAGCGAGCTTGTTTGATCTGTCAGTGAGGATTCACTGCTTACCAGGCCATAAAGCATCTCGTACAAGACTGCTCCAAGGCACCACCAGTCCACAGTCCTGTCGTAGGGCTGCTTGTGAAGAACTTCAGGAGCAAGATACTGTGGAACAGAAGGAAAGAAACGCATTAGCAAAAGGGATCCGTATAGTTAGTACAGTCCACGCCCACTTCTGAATGAAAACAGCTCACTTAATCCCACCAGTATCTAAGCTACCAGGAAGATGCAAGTACTTGAAAGCCACTCTCTCCTCAACAAACTCTCACAGGCCCTCACAGTCTGATATCACAAGACCCATCCTAACCCCCATGTGTCTCACCCACAAGAAAAGCACATGGGAATGATGAGTTGTGACCGCAAGTTGAGGACTGGACGTACCTCAGGTGTGCCACAGAAGGTGGAGGTTGTGCCATTGTGCTCTATGTTTTCCTTGCAGAGTCCAAAGTCAGTCAAGACAATGTGCCCCTGTGAATCAAGCAGAATATTCTCCGGCTTCAAGTCACTGTAGGAAAAGATGAAAGAAAAAACATTCATTAGAAGAGCTGGAATCAGCAGACTGTTTACTCATTAAGTCATAAAAAATGATAAAAATAAACTTTGGGCTAATATTGAGGTAAACTTCTTAATGCTTATTAAACAAAGGGTGTGGTTTCTTTTAGTCCAACAACATTGCTTACCGATAGACAATGTTCAGGGAGTGCAGGTAGCCCAGCGCACTGGCAATTTCAGCAGCATAAAATCGGGCCCTTGGCTCCAGGAAGCAACGCTCCCTCTGGAGATGGTAGAACAACTGCAGGAGACAGAAAGAACAAAGTTCTGTAAGCGGCGCCAGAGCCTGTTAACAATGAACTTAATTAGACTCAACATATATAGCTAGGGAGAACAATGGCAGGAAATGGCCTAATGATCCTTTGGTAGTCCAAAACTTGGCAGGCCGGAAACATTAATTCTAGTAACTTTTCCCCATGGTTTTTTCCCCTTGGAATTCTTTTTTATTTAAAAGGAAGGGTGAAAAAAAAATCTACCCTACTGCTGCACACATGATAGGAAATACTACTTGATTTTCTTACTGCTTACCTCTCCGCCATTGATGTAGTCCAGGACAAAATACAGTTTGTCTGCAGTTTGGAAGGAGAAGTGAAGTCCGACCAGGAAGGGGTGTTTCACATTTTTCAGCAGGACATTGCGCTCTGACATGATGTGCTTTTCCTGAACACACGGGAAATCAATGTTTAGCAACAGTATTTACTGAGCAACAGCAATAAAAAAAATCAATGTGATGAACATCACAACAAAAACACTAAGAAGCAGCTCACCTCCTTCTTCTTCAGGATTGCTTTTTTCTGTAGGACTTTAACAGCATAAAACTGCTCTTCTGCCTTATGCCGTGCAAGAAGAACCTGAAAGAAGACAGATTCCCAAAAGTGAGCAATGCTAAACTACAGAACAAAGAGTAAACACAACAGAAAACAATCCCTTCTGCTAACGGCTCAGCACTGCTCCACTTCTCTGGCTCAGCATGCAAGCTCTGTGCTGGCAGTACCTAAAGCTGTCAGCACTCCCACAGATAAATCTAGTTTTACTGTTAGTGTCCTTCCCTTCCAAATGGGAAATACATACTCTCCCAAGCTGAAGAACCCCCACCCCTGCCTACTCCCTCCCTTGCTCTACTGTGACTCACAGAAATGCAGCACCCTGCTTCCCTTCCCCAAAGCCCAGCAGAGCCAGGCGCTGGTCAGCAGCACTGCCCATGTCTGCTTTAAATGACTGCCATTCACCAAAGGCAGCACAAACACAGCCTGTAGGCATCACCACATACACGAGCTCAAGAGTAATTCAATTACAGTAAAAAGAAGTTATGCTTACCTTTCCAAAGCTTCCTTTTCCAATAACTTTTAAGAAATGAAAGTCTGATGGCTTGGCATGTGGGTTGGATGATGGGCCAAGATTTATCTGCTGTGATGGGCTGGGCTAGAAAAACAAACATACAGAAAACAGTTTTCATAAACCAGTGAGACTTTTTTCTTTTTTAATATAGATAAAGTAACTTTGAAAGTGAGGATGAGCACTCTGTTTATCATTAAAATTTTAATCTAGACATCTACCAGATGACTTACACTCTTTGGTACTACTCAAGAAAAGTATAACAGCAATAGCTGATCTAAGAATTCTTTCTGAGGTCTTAGTCACATTCCATAATGAAGCTACAACTAATAAAGGTAAATTTAATTTTTTTTTTCTCCATGTTGAAAATAAGTTCCAAGCTAACTTGGTCACTTTTTCCCCACCTACATCACTGTGCTATAAACTGAAGTAACACTCGTGATGCTAATTTTGCTACGCTTCTATTATCAGCTCATTTGATGTTCTAAAAATGCTTCACGGAGCGTAAAATCAGCTTACCGGAGGAGAAGGATTAGCGTTCATAAGTTCAGGCTCTTGAGGCTGGGAGATTTTCAAGATAGATTGAACTTCAGGGCTGCAATGATGAGAGTATGCGTTAATCATTACCAAAAACATCAAGTGAATTTTTCCACCAGAGGGCAAGCAAGGACTGCGCTGGGAAAAGATGAGTTTGGGCTTGGGCTGTTACAGAAAGAAACAATTTGTTTGGCTTAAGGGGTAAAACTCATTTACAGAATGTAAATTCTGCCATAGAAAGAAATGTATTTATACCGTATGTACAGATCACAACAGAGGTGGGGCCCTAGAAATTCCATCCAACCGATTTCACCCAAACCCTGCTGAGGAAGATTTGCCGCAAGGTGACTAATAGCTCAAGAAGAGCAATTAACTCTTCTGTAACAGTCATGTCAGAAGCATTACAGTAAACAATTTTTTTAACCGATAGTGGGATTTGTTAGAATCATAGAATATCCCAAATTGGAAGGGACCCATACGGATCACAGAATCCAATCCTGGCTCCACACAAGACCACCCAAAAATCAGATTGTCTGGCCAAGAGTGTTGTCCAAAAGCTTCTTGAACTCGGCAAGCTCACTGCCATGACCACTGCCCTGTGGAGCCTGTTCCACTGCTCAACCATCCTCTAATGAAGAACCTTTTCCTGATACCCAACCTGACCCTCCCTTGTCACTGAAACCCATCTGAAATTGCTGATACTTACTGCTTGCATGCATAGGAGTTGGTGGCTATCTTCTGAATGAAATCATTAAGCCCCATTCTTCTCTGTTTCATGAAAGCTGTAAAACAACCAAAAAAAAAAAGACAGGGAGTGTTAAAAAAAAACAAAAACAAAAAGCATTTAGCTATCTGCTTGCCCTGCCGAAAAAAAAAAAAAATGCCCGCGAGCATCCTTCCTCCCGCTCACCGATGAGAATGGCCACCATTCCCCTCATCTTCGAATAAGTCAAAGCGGGACCCGAAGCTTCGGCCGCCTTCACTGTCATTGCGCTGGGAAGGGGCTGCGGAGCCACCGAGAGCTCTGCTGCCAGCACCGCACTGCCTGGGAGCGGCCCCCGACGGCGCTTAAGTGGCAGCGGAGCGGGGCGGGATCGGGGCGGGGCGGCTTCGCTCGTCCCCCCCACCCCCACCCCCCCAACGTTCTCGGAGGCTGCCGGCCTCCGATAACGTCGCGGTGGGGGGGAGGGATAAAGCGGAGTCGCTCCGTCCTCGCTGCCCTCTCTGGCTGGGTACAGGAGCCTTAAAGAGGCGCTTCGGAAAGTCGCCGGCCCCGGGGAGCTGCGATAAAAGTGGCGTTTGACGTTTCCTTGAAGGAGCCACAGTGAGTCAGGAGAAGGAGATTTCCTGCCCCGGGTTTTCAATAAAACAAACAAATGGCCCTACGCCCGGTTGCTCGGTCGGGATATTACTGAAAGGGAAAAGGGAAAAAAATAAAAAATAAAAAATAATATAAAAAAACACGTCTCTTTTTCATGCCAGAAAGGGAAACGTAGGGGAAAAAAAAATCTCAGTTCCCTGAACTTGGGAAGAGGGGAGGGCCGAGTTTTGCTGCTGGAAAAAGCAGGGGAGATGATGGAGAACCGCACGAGCCAAAAATTAACAGAAGTGGGGGACCATCCCTCCGCTCAGTTTGTTTCCCCGTGCACCCGCCTCATCCGAGCCCGTTTGGGGCATCTCCCGCCGGCTCCCCCGTGGGTACTCCCCGCCCGGCGGGTGCTACGCACGCACTCATTTCATATCAGAGCGCCTGGGCTGCCACCGGCAGCTCCAGCTGCGCCGTGCCCCAACACTACCCCCCTGCTTGGGGCCCCTTTCTCCCTCCCGAAACCCCAGGCGGCCGCTGGGCGGCATCCCTCGGCTGCTTCCTCGGGGCCGGGAGCGGGGAGCACCCCGGCACAGCACCCGGCTCACCCCGAGCAGTGACAGGCACGGCCCGCGGCGGGAAGGACCCTGCGGGACGGTCACGGCTCTCGCAAAGCGTTTTACAACGACAGAGGAAGGAGCGAACGGAGCCGGGGGGGGCGGCAGTCGCGCTCCGGGGGATGGAGGCGAGCCGGCGCCAGGGCAGGAAGGGGCGACAGGGAGTAGCACGGAAGGCTGAGTGCAGCCGGCGGGGCTCTGTCTTCTCCTACTTGTTGCCTTCCTCCCTCTGTTGCTAAAACTGACGCTTTCAGTAGTAGAAAACAAATAAACGAAAAGACAGAAAAAAAAAAAAAAAAAAAGAAAAAAGAAAAAGAAAAAGAAAGCCGGGTGGACAGCAGCAGGAGCGCTCCCCTCCGGGGCTGCGATAAGACCAATGCTCTACACCACCACCGTTCGGGCGGCCGCCGTTCCGCAGCCCCCGGGCACTGCCCCCCGCTCCTTCGCACAACCTGCATCCCCTCCCTTTAACCCCCCTCCCGCTGCCGCCTCTTCGCGTCCTGCTCGTGCCACTGCTCCCGGCCCCTTCCCGTGCTCCAGCCCTGCGCACGACGCTGGGTTTTAATTCCCCGTCGGGAGCGCTTTGCAAAAAGCCCCCGCAGAGCGCAGCGGAGCCCACCTTTCAATGAAGATTTCTCCTCTTTGCCCCTCATCGCCGCGGGGATGCGGGCTCTGCGCGGAGCCGTGCGCTGCAGCTGCGTGTGGGCTGCCGTAATCCCGACTGCGCTCCCTTCCTGGCCGGCCCCGGGACTGGAGGGAGGCGGCGAGCAGGGGGAGGCCGGCACCGTTCCTGCTGTCCCGCTTATGAGCGTAGCGCCGAAGGCGATTTACATGCGGCAGCGTTATAAAGTTCACGGGCCGCCCCGCACACTCTGCCCCATTGCAACATCGCCGTCAAAATTACTGTCATCAGCGGGAGCCCGAGACGCGCGCACACACCCCGGCAGCGCGGGGGGGGGGGGGCGGCCTGCCCTCCCGGACCCACGGAAGCGGGCGCTGCCCTCCCGACCCCCCGCCGAAAAAAAGAAAAAAAAGATGGCCGGGAGCCAAGACAGGCAGCGGCGGGGCGGGCGCTGCTACTGCGGGGGGGTGCCGCGGCCGGATAGCGCCGAGGCGGGCCGGGCCCCGCTCCCAGCTGGCACCCAGCGCCTTCCGCCGGCAGCGCCCCGGCGGCGCCCCCCACCCGCCCGGCCCGGCGCCGCGCACCCCGGCCGCGCCCCGCTGCGGAAAGCCGCTGTCCGCCCGCCCGTGCCGGCGCCCACCTGCGCGGCCTCGTGGGACGGGTCCGGGTACCGCTCCTCGCCCCCTCCCCGCCGGTGGGAAGCGGCCCGTGCATCACCGAGTGGGTGTGTTTAATGCGATTCCTTCGCATGGAATGCATTGCTGTTATTTCTCTGAAGCCGTAAATTGGGTTCTCAGAAGCTGGAGTGCTCCAAGGATGCATTCTACAAGTTTTCTCTACAGCGATGTCAGCAAAACCAGTTGAAATGGAAGATAGAGCATAGAGGAGTGAAAAGTAGCCAAGAGGTATCCCGTTACTCGGGAGCTGAGTCTCCTGGAAAAGCGTCAGGAGTTATGGGAGAGTCAATAAACTGCAACGGTTTGCACCAATGACTTATGCAGGCGGTGGGTCAGGAGTGTGCTGATAAGTACACACAAGGGAAGAATCCAACAATTACAATGATGTTTCACACTGTGTTTTTCTCCGTGACTGAAATTTTGGCATATCTTCCTGAACTTCTAAATTAATACTTTTTTTTTTTTTCTTTTTTTTTTTCCTGTTTTCTCTTTTAAAAAAAATAAAAAATAAAAATAAAAGGAAAATTAATAATGTATTAGAAGGACATTCAAAATGAAAAAGGAAATGGCATATGAAAAGTTGCAGAACTACAAAGCTGTGGATCGGTTCAAGAATGGCTACACAAATTAACAGAAAAAAACTACTTGAGCACTGTAGACTGCCAAGGCAGCGTGTCTGACCCACTGTATTCCTGAACCACAAACCCCTGGGAGTCAGGGATGCTTCAGGGGCACATCACAGAGCAGTTGCCCAATCACTGAATCATTAAGATTGGAAAAGATCTCCAAGATCATCTAGGCCAACCATCAGCCCATCACCACCATGCCCACTAACCATGTCCCTAAAAGCCACATCCACATGTTTCTTGAGCGCTTCAGGGATGATGTGTCCACCACCTCCTTGGGCATCCTGTTTCATTGCCTCACCATTCCTTCAGATAAGAATTTTTTCCTAGTATCCAACCTGAATCTCCCCTGGCGCAATGTTGAGCCATTACCTCTCGTACTATCACTGGTAGCTGGGAGAAGCGGTCCTACCTTGCCACAACCTCCTTTCAGGCAGTTATAGAGAGCAATAATAGCTCCCCTGAGCCTCCTTTTCTCCAGTCTTAACAATCCCAGTTCTCTCAGCCCAATTCCCTGTGAGACTTGTGCTCCAGAGCCCTCACCAGCTTCGCCGTCTTTCTCTAGACGTGCTCCAGGGCCCTTAGTAGTGCTGTTTGCTGGTGCAGGTAACCCCATACACTGGCTTTCATGGACACAACTCCACACCTTTATTATGATTTTCCCATTCCCCTTCTGAGTGACACTGTCCTTGGTCTGTGCTCAGAATTTAACCCACTTACACAACCTGGAAACTGCTGCTTGCTGGCAAGAAGGCAGGTAACTGATTCAATTTTGTAACCTAGTACAAAGCAGGACTGCTGAGTGACTCTGCTGCATGTAAGAGTATCAGCGGGTAAACAGACTCTGGCATCCAAACCAGAGCCCAGCTGTGGGGCTGGCAGAAATGCAGGAAGGCACAGCCCTCCTGCAGCCATGGGCTGCCCAGACATCAAGGCAGAGCTGGCACAGTGTGTCCTTGCCCATATCTGGTGGCTATGAGTAACCCTAGGTCCTGTTACACAGAGGTTGGGACTTGCCCAAGGTAAAACTCTTGGAGAATGTGGTTCAGTTTATCTTAAAGGACAAACAACACAACACTGGTGTGATTCTGTGTTGGAAACGCCTTCAGCAGATGCTGCCTGTGGAAATGTGTCTCCCTCGAGAAGTCTCGCTGGAGGAATCTCATCTGCACTGAATGGATGCTCATCTTGCTCAGCTGTACTCATGCACACAGAAACTTTTCCCGCTTGTCCTTCAGAAAGGTCAGATGCACCCATAGCCCACTCAGCAATCAGAATTTGTGAACTCTCTTCCTCTGATTATGTCCCAGTGCTCATTGTGTGCTGTGGAATGATTTACGCCTGTCCTTCATGCCTCCATCCTTCAGGAATTAGATTCTCAGATAGCTTCTGAACTTCAATTTGGCAATGAATTCAGTGCTAAGGGAATTAATTCCTGCATCTTATCTTGCTGGATCTCGACTTTAGGATGTGGCAGGTTGAGCTGTTCCTAGAATTTCTTGGCTGACTCCGAGCGGAAGCTTCACAAAATTCTGCAAATATTTTCAGCGACAGTTGAGTTCAGGTTAATTAAACAAAGATGGGATTCAAGTCTTGGACTGCAGGAATGACACTGTCCCGGATGCAAAAGGAGTCTGTGCTCCTGGCAGCATCTGAGCTCTGAACCAAATTCTCTCAAAAAGAGCTTTTACTTTTTCCTCCTGAAAATCCCCAACAAATGAGTCTCTGACCCTGTAACTAAGGTTCACGCACAACAGCCAAAACATTCAGTCAAGATTTTCAGGCTGTCCCCACAAATGGTGTCTTTGAGTAGCAACAAATAGATAAGAATTGAATAACAGCCTTAATAATAACCCAAATAGAGATTTTAAATCAGAAGGTTCTGAGTGCTGTCAACAGGTCTGCTGGCATTATTCTGAAAGGAGAGTTATTGACTGAAGCCCCTATTGATCTGGAAATATCTAGCAGATTTCAATGTCATGTTTTGCCAAACCCAAATTGGGAACATCTTTTATTTCCCTTTTCTGGTGCTTGTAGAGCAGGTTTACTGCATTGTCAATAAGAGGCTTTAGTGTCAAGGGATTATGCTCACAGGATCACAGAGTGGAGCAGAGCTGTACTGAGGAAAAAGTAATTCCCGTCCTTGCAGAAAGCAGTGGAAAAATACAGCATCCTCTAGATGCACTGACCTCTGGCTAAAATAGCTGATAAATGATGCCCCTTGCTTCCATTTTAACTTCAGCACAGTGATTTCAATCTAACATAGATGTCCCTTCAACATTATGAGCCACTGTTGCCACTATTTGTTTGCCTTCCTCAGAATGTGCCCCCCTCTCAGCCCAGATTAGTGTAAGTCCTTGCATTGTTGTGCAGCCTCTCTGGCTCACAGTCATTAAAACAGGTTGGGTGACAGAAACTTGAATTCATTATTGTTATTATGAACTTAAAATAATGTGCTGTGATGGTCTTATCAGAAATGAGCAATGCCAGTATGGCAATTGAGGTGAAAACATAGGATGGGAAGGTGATAAAAAAAAGGCTCGTGAGGAAGATTAAGATTCTTAATGCTGCTGCTCTGCTTTGGTCACAAGGCAGCCTGATGTGAGCAGCTAGTACATGCTCCAGAATGAAGAGTATAAGTATGTGTTGTCTGGTTACTCTGAGAGATTTTGCCTTGAAAATTTCAGCTACTGGAAGATGATAGCAAAGATGGATTTAGGCATTTTCTTCTGAGAGTGCAAGTTGAACAAGTTTCCCTATGCCTCTCACTTAAACATATGTGCTAAAATACAAATGATATCCAAACTAACTGAGTGATCAGATCATCTGACTTTCCCCTATCTCTTCATCTCGTGTTCCACGAGGTGTTTTCTACCATGATATCTCAGTGCCTTTTATGTGTATACAACCCCCCATCATCACCATTGTCGTTCATTATCTTAAAAGAAAGATCTCTTCAAAACTGTAAGCCCTCCAGCAGCCTTGGAGTTAAGGTACCATAAATTAGAGAGCAAAGAGAGGAATTTTTGCTAGAGAGAGGCTCATTTGACTGATAACTTGAAGCAGCAACGTGGATTCTCAGGGGTGAGCAGGACATGCAAACTGAGGCATGCTAAAGGAGGCTTATGCTGTCAGGTCTTAATCTTTTCTTCTTGGTGGTGTGTCTCTTGCCATCATGCCAACTGCTTTCATATTCCTTATTTCCTCCATATTTCTGTGAGATTTTATTTTGGAAGGCGTAAGAGGCTTCCTGGGCAGAAGGATGTTCAACATGTATGTTAAACAGGCCTTTATTTGGGGGGATTTACCTCCAGTGATCCATAGTTTCAGGATATAGTTACTACCTGGTTACTTGGTTTTGTTGCTTTTAGTGAGGTTATAACAGCATTTCTGAGGGTAGAATAGCTAGTTTAAAATAGAGTATTAGAGAAGAAGTGTTAATTTCGCCCTAGGCAAGTAGTCCAAAGTAGAGTCAAAATATCTATTTATATATTAATCCACTGTATACATTTACCTTCCTTAAGTTTTGGCACTTTAAGTGGACGTATAGTCACCAAAGGTACCCTCCTTGGTCAGAAGAGAAAATAAGCTCCCCAGAGGTAACTTGGTGAATATATGGCCTGACTTAAGCAATGCCTAGTATTTAGTTGAAAGAATTTGGGCCTGAAACTGACAGGTAGGTAGAG